CCCTCTATTCAATACAAAAATCTTGGAAGTTGTAGCATAATCAGCTAAAAAATTAATGCCAGTTCAAGTAATTCCTAACATTTGGCAAAGCAAGACTTTGAGGAAAAAATTTTAAAATACTGAATCGAGCAAAGCCTGTAAGTTTGATAAAGATGCACTCTCGGAGAGACACAAACCATAAACTTGATGTTTCCACAGATCAACACACACAAAATTGGCATATTAAGATATGGCCAGGAAATCTTTACAACAACTCTGGGTTTTTCATTGCATTTGGGTATTTGTAACTGATTGGAACACAAACAATGTTAACTACCAACAACATTAATCTAAAGGCTGGATTCATCCAAATACTTAAGATAACAAATTCAATAACTAAATTAGAATATTGATAGCTAGTGTTTAACATATTCGAGTGTGACTCATCACAGGGTTTGGTTCTTTCCTCTGCTCTTTCATAACTGCTCTCATTCCAGTGACCCTGTAAACAAGAAGGGACAAAAATCATAATTATGCTGAAGCCAAACTTAATTGTTTAGTACTTTGTGATAATACAGTCGAACCCGGATAAAGCGTTGCAAATCCCATTGACGAAACATAATAATCCCATATGAAAACACCCCGCTTGTAACGTGTCCCGCTTATACCATCGCCACTTGCTTTTCCCAAGGTGCTACACTATATCCGGGTTTGACTTTGTAGAAGTGTTAAGATAAAATGGGAAGGAAAACAGATAATTCTGACATGCAAATATTACCATGCATTTATTAATTTTTCATGAGGGTACAACTCATAGAAGATGAATAAAGAGGGCTATAAAAGGCTAATTACAATAAAGGTAAAGCACTATGTTATTGGAAAGGGGGCATATCATGTATTCATAGTAAATGTGTTAGATACTGTCTTTTCCATCCAAACAAAATTAAAAATTTATTAAGAAAAGAAACAACAAACTCACCCCAATATGAAGGGACAAGTTTGCAGCGTAGATCTTTTACCACTTATTGGACATTGATGGTGGTGAAGAACCTACCCCCATTCCTGCATCAGAAGCAACACATGCAAAACAATCACAAACATTCAAACAAAAATCTACAGCACAGCAAATAAGAAAAAAATTGTGCCATTTTTAATCAGTAATACAGCATGCAGAAACACAAGAATTTAAAGCTGTGATCAATTAAATATGTGTGTGACTAGTGCGACCGGATTAAAATATTCAATCTAAAATCTGTTATGGTACGATACAAACCAGAGGTGATGAAAACATTGCACTTAAATAAACCAAAGTAAACCACTAACACATCTACCATCTCATAACCATCTACATCAACACTTACATGGATAAATTAACTCCAGTTTAAAATAAATGCAGTGCCAAAAACCCAGAGCAAACACCTACAATACAATTGATAGTTTCCAGGAAGATAAAAAAAAAGGAGGCAGAGGTGAATACTTTACAAACCTGGAGTGTAAACAGTCTTATCACCCGTGTTGAGGGAGGTACTCTCATTGGCATCTCCTGGAGCTGGCATGGGCATTGGCATTGGCATTGGCATGGCCGTTGAGGTTGGCTGAGTTGACACAGACGGTCCTCCAACATCATCTTCATCATCCTCCTAAAACAATTCAATATAAATTGCATGAGCAAAGTCATCTTCCAAAAACTTGGCAGATCAGATAATAAAAAAAGTAAAGAATGGTAAAAAAAATAACAGAGGCCTCAGAAATGATTTCTTCTTACTAAAATTGACATGGATAGAGAAGAATGATATTGGTGCACTGTGAAAATGTCTGAGAAACCTATTGTGCTCTGAATTTTTCCCACTGAGGCGAGATCTGCTTTCAAAGATGTCACTTGTTTGTTTTGAAAATATGTAAATTGTACTGGAGGAAGAACTCATAACAGTAAATGGTCTTGAACGCCTTTAAATTACACTAGAAGTGCAGGGAAAGACTAACATGCTCACTAGAAGCTAATACTGGCAGGGCAGGCAACTCTAATATACGGGAGAGGGTCAAAGCATATACATAAGTCTTCAAGATACATTAATGCCAAAGTAGTGGGGATTAAACAGTGACATGTCCATTGTCAGTGTTTACAAATTAAGTATGATTGAGGAAATTACTGTAATATTAATATTATATCCAATAAGGTATACATGTAAGTCCGATGTATTACAAGCAGCATAAGAAATACATTAGTATTAATGTTAGATCAATATATAATTCCGGAACTCTTTACTTACCTTAAACACAGCATTAAGTTGATGGTTTGAAAGTTGTACTATGTGTGTTCTCATGCTATTCCCTACCAGTACTTAAGATTGAGTAGTTTACTGCCCATGTCTGACATTTTCTTTCATTCTGAGATTTTCTTTGTGTCTCCATACCAACCTGATTCCTTTGGGAGCGGGGCTGCTCCGATATCACAGCACCTTCTGCGCCATTCTGGTTTCTCTACAAAAAAGAGCCAAAGGCTAACTCAGTGCTAACAAAAAAAAAATGCTGAAGAATATAGGGGCTGGCGTGAGAAAACAAAAGAATGGTGCTGTGCAAACCCCTCTTTTAACCTAACAAACAAGTGGTAGACCAAGCTGTGTTGTACTAAGTGTACAGAAACATCTTTTTCTTCTTATGCATATATTTAAACAGGCATTATGTTGGTTGACACAAGATCAGACATACATTTTCCATTTTTCGATTGTTTACATCTTCCATTCTAAAGCCTATAGCTGTCATATAAGAATGTCCTTCACAAAACCAACAGAGCCAAACACCCCTTCACTCTAAGAAAATTTTGTGCTACAGAGCAAATGTGAACTAAGTGATATATGTAACCTTCTAGACTATGGGAAAATAGTCTAGAAACGTTCTCTGAAAATTTTCTTTGACCCATGACCAAAATGAAGCTTGTTCTTGTATATAAAGCATAACATTTGTTTGAAAAGCTCCTTTTAGAAAGCACCTCATGCAATTAAAGATTGACAGTATAAGTCTCTATGTAGGTGCTCTGAAAATGGTCAAGACCATTGCAGGATTGCTCTTTTAAGCACCACATTTAATAAAGAAAGCTAGGGAAATTTAAAAACAGCTTGATTACAGGTTCAGAATATGCCAAAAAGGCAATAAATTCAGATCAAATGTTGCCAGACCATGAAATTAAATATTCCCATTAGGCTGGGAGCTTGGAGCAATCGTGCCATTTACCAATCAATAAAATAGAGCAGAAAACCCTTGAAAGAAAATTTTTAAGAACTGTAGAGGGGTGCTCCAGCTACATTCTGTGACAAGGTTATCATTTACTTGGGTTTGCACAGCACCTATGTCAGTGAGGGTAGAAAAAAAAAAGCAAATCATAAAACAAATGGGCAGCAATTGACCAAGTTGATAAGCATATAAAGCATGCTTGAGTCACCATGCATAATCTACTAGAAGCATGCAAGACACTTAAAAATGCCAGTAGGAAGAAATCAGAAAGTCTAAAACCCATGTCTTCCGGAGAAACTTCAGATCCAAATGTTTACAACAGGAATATCTAGGGACAGCAACTATTATAAGAGAAATTGGAATTTGTTCACTTGAGTACAACATAACTTGGTCTCCACACAAAATCAAACCTACACAAATTTATCACACAGCTCACAGATTATTATAATAGATATTGATTGTGGTCACCACATGAAACAAGAGCTACATGGCTAGGAGGGAAAGAACTTAAAACCAAGGTATCACTAAACAAGTTATCCATCTCACACTTATATGGACGGTAGGTAGAGCATGGCAAGCATCATACAATGTAAAATACTATTTTTATTTTCTCCCAGATGGGATGAATGTCACTTACGCACTAGTAAAGTGCTCAACATAAAGGCTAATTTACTAAAAAACACACATTAAATATATCCTTATTAAGTACACCAAGATTTCTAATCCACCAAATGTAAGGAAGACAACTGAGTTTTCAATCTCCCCACGTCTAGAAGAGATATTTTGTATAATTGAAACTCTTAAACCATCTGAAACATTGAAATTGAATAATTTCGGTATAAACCCCTTACTTTTTTCTTACTTTTCCCTAATCCCAAGATAGATGGCCTGGTCGGTCACCCTAAAATTCTCTACGATTTCAAAACCAAGGGAAAACATCTTTGTCACTGTACCAACACAACAGATATGACTTTACTTCAGCAACAACCAAAACTTTTCATTTTCCTAATTCATAATCACAAGAAATTGAAACATAAGATGACCATGCTTTAAGGGAGACACCAACAAGTTGTAAATATGTACTTAAAATGGAACATTATCATTGAAACTGAGATAAATGTAACAGAAAACTTAGGTTTGACTCACATGGAGAGTATGATAATCACCAGACTCCTCAGGAGGCCGCGGTTTACATTTTCCACAGCAGAAGTTGCAGCAGCAACACAGGCAGCAACAGCAGTAACATCCAGTGATAAGACCACAAAACAAGAAGGCAAACTGGTAGGAAGAAATAATGATTATTAGTGTGTGGGACATAGGAAAATATGAAATAAGTTTTTGAAAACTAATAATTAAACGAGCAGTTGTGAGGAAAACCAAAATAGCTACAAACCTTACACCATCCCGAAGTTACAAGGAAATAAGGGTTAACATTTTCTTCTCCAAACTGTTCAGCTATATACAGACCAAGGGACCCGTAGTTGTCATACACATTTCTTTTGGTCAGATCGCTAAGTATGCTGTAAGCTCGATTAATTTCCTTAAACTGAAAAAGAAATAAAAAAATTACTATCTGGGTTTACAGACAAAAAACACCCGGAAACTGCAAAATGGGAACTTACTCTATCTGCAGCCTCAGGATTGTCTGGATTTTTATCAGGGTGGTATTTAAGTGCCAAACGACGATAAGTTTTCTTAATATCATCTGTGGTAGCAGTTTTAGCCAAACCCAGTGTTTGATACAGAGTATCTCCCGACGTCCTGAAAATAAGCACAAATTTGAACGGGTTGGCCAGATTTTGAGTTTTATTATCTGCTGTGGCTACATGATAAAGACTAAACTTGACATTACATAACAAGAGAGCTCACTCCCAAATACATCATATCATAAAATTTAACAGAAAAACATAAGATGAAACTATTAAAATCATAGATATCATATAAAATTAAATCCCTGTCACTGTTAATAGTCGAACTTTCAGCTTTATATTATTATTTTTTCCCTACAATGACTCACACCCCTAAAATCCCGCAGAGTTTAGAGGTAATATTTGTAACAATGTAATTACGTTTTGGAACACATTCACAGAAAAACAAGGAATGAGTAAAAATTTTACAAACCACTTAAGAGGCCAAGATTTAAAATTAAAGGCAAACATGAAGTATATGCTGGCCACAATTGTAAATATGGAACCCACCCACCCTGTATCAACCCCTGGTGACCCACTAACCTCAGAGGGTTCTTTTTCAGAGACAACAAGAAAACAACGATGAATGCATCCAAAGACGGTAAATTCAAAGTAACGAAAAATAAAACCAAACGCCTTTGAATGAGATTGACGTTGATCCACCGGCATAACTTACGAGAGACGTCGCCTGTCCATCTTGGGGTCCAGGGTGAATACGTTTAAAACTCAAGTTGAGGGTGTCCCAAATATTATCCAACACACTTCAATCTACAAAGACTGCATTATCAACACAGTCCTACAAAAACTTTGTCGTGTGCATTCCAAAGCATCGACCAACCCTATCGTTTTCCAAGAACAACGTAAGGAGCAACGTACGTCACTCAAAACTCTCACAGGACCCTTTCTGCATTGGTCGAAATTTATCGTTATTTTATCGATCTGCCATTTGCGGTTTGTCTTTCAAGTGTTCGGAAATGATCAGTTTGCAGACAGAAAACTCTCTAGATACAGAGAATAGTTCACATTTGAAAAATCGTGCATTAACAATTTTCAGAATACAGAAAAACCGTGTGCGTCAAGAGTGTGTATTTCGCCGGAAGGTTGCACATCCTACCAAAAAACCCGCACTATACTTCATTTACGGAACCATTACACTATCCCCCTTTCAAATTTCTCTTGAAGTTAACGATCTTCGATTTAAAAATTATTTTATCTTACGTCAATGATAAAATGAGTATGATTATGTTATCTTAAAATCAAACTGAATTTGCTTTGCTTTGATAGAATCCCTCACAAGTCAATCGATAGCTCGACCAACATTATCTTCTTTTTTTTTGCCTTTGTTGTTGTTGAACAGTTTGGGCAGCTTACACCACAACAACACGTGCCGATAGGTTAGAATTTTTGAAAAATGGGTAAAATGGGGAAAAAGCGTAAGGTAAATGACGATGAATATGATGCAAATCCACCAGCAAAGCAAAATATCGCCCCTCACCTTAAAAAGCAAGAAAAGCGATTAATTGTCATTCTAGAGGGAGCCCAACTAGAAAGTGTCAAGGTATGGTTATCAAAAGTATTGTTATTTAATAATAATGCCGAAATATTTTGTTTCCTGTTTGCGTTTCACATGAATAAATTTATGTAGTACATTTAGTTGTAAAGCAGGGCAGTAGAAAAGTCGTTTGAAACTCATGTGTGCTTCTTGAACGCCATTATTATTACTAATGTTTGGTTTTCCTCCTCTATTTATTCAGATTGGTAGTTCCTTTGAATTGCTTAACTCCGATGATCATCTCAACATGCTACGTAAAAATAATCGTGATCCAGTTCGTCCAGATATAGCTCATCAGTGTTTACTGATGCTACTTGACAGTCCTCTGAACCGAGCGGGCCTCCTTCAGGTAGATCAGTCTTACTTTCTTGAATAGAGAAAGTTAGTAACCATTTTTATCTATTTACTTAACACCAAAATTATCTATATTTCAGGTTTATATTCACACAGAAAAAAAAGTACTCATTGAAGTCAATCCTCAAACCAGAATTCCCCGGACTTTCAAAAGATTTGCAAGCTTGATGGGTAAGTGGCTAACATCGATGTTTTAATTTTGCTCAGTCTGAAGATGTCCTTATTGGTCTTCTAATTCTGTGCGATTATATTCCAGTCCAGCTACTCCACAAGTTTAGTGTCCGGGCAACAGATTCATCTATAAAGCTATTAAAAGTTATCAAAAATCCCATAACTGATCATTTACCTGTTGGATGTCGAAAGCTGGCATTTTCCTTTAGTGCTCCTAAAGTTACCAACCCAAGAGAGTTGGTCCCCTCAGAAGACCCCATTGCAATTGTTGTTGGTGCAATGGCTCATGGAAAGGTTTGTGGCTTGATAGATCTGCTCTTCATAAAACTACATGATTTCACGTCATTGAATTCACCTCCTTAATTGGGCTTTTTAGGTTGCAGCTGACTATGCCGAGGAATGGATATCAATAAGTGGTTATCCACTATCTGGGGCTTTGGCTTGTGCTAAGCTGTGTTCAGGTTTTGAGGAAGTGTGGGGTGTAGCATAAAATTTGATTTATTATATTAATAGTTTATAAGAATAAAGTCCGGATCAATTTTTTATTCAAGTTCCTAGGAAGCAATTTCAACTCTCCCTCTCTTAAACTCTTTCCAAGTTAAAAGTTGTTGCTAACATGCACTTCTAAGTCAAAACAAGACTTATTTTCTTAAATTAGACTATCATTTGCATAAAACAGAGTGTTATGGTACCAATAAATCAATAAGTTTCCAATAAAATGAAACTTAAATCTAGAATATACAAGAAAAAACAAAATAGGGCTATGGCACATGTCTGTAAAGATTCAAACTAATCTCAAAAATTCATTTAAGTGTTGACTTCACATCCACAAAATTCCAGAATAGTGGCACAAGTTAAATATCACATGAACAAAATTAAAACAAAACAAAATAAGCGTCTTTTTAGAGGGGATCTCCAAATTGAGAAGTAGGCATATTTAAATTTGCTATATTACGCAAAACAAAAAGAATAAACATTTCATTTCTGTGTTAAAACATAAGAAAATAACTTCATGCAGAAAAAAAGTACTTTAACACAAACTAAAAGTAAAATTGTAATATGCAACATCATTAAATATATATGGTGAATAACACCATTCTATCTTAACAGTAAAGGTAGGCACAATAGGCGACACCAACCACACACTAAAATATTCTACATCTAGAGGAACAATAAGGCAAAATGCATAACTCAAACATTCACTTTTTTAAGTGCAAAATAATCTATGTATCAGTTTGATTTTGATAAAATTCAGATGCATGAATCTATCGAAAGGAGGAGATGTAAGATTTCTTGCTTCTTGATACAACTGCTGAAGCTGCAGCAGCTGCAGTTGATGGAAGAGCCAAGAGGGATGTAGCAACAGTTTTCCTTGGAAGAGGTGGAGCATCTTTGCAGGGTAAGTTCTCTTTTCCTTTCTCCAAAGGAATAGATTTCCTATGGCTGAAACCAGAGTCCATCTTCATACTTTCTTTCTGATAATGCAACAAGGCATTATTTTTAGCATTTTCAATATTTTCCCTGCTATTTGGCACCATAAACTTGGATTCAGAAGATACAGGAGTGCTTGAACGACAGCTAGACTTCCTCCTGCGCCGTGCACTTCCACCAAAAGCATTTTTTTTCAAAACTACATCGTTAGGGAACATAACTTCTCTGGTGTATGTTGCTGTCCCAATGTTGGTGGATGAGTGCTTAGTATCCAAAAGTGAATCTACAGAAGCAGCTATATTTCTTTTATCTTGAAAGTTGTTGACAGGTACATTGAACCTTTGTTCTTGAGAATGTTTTGGCAATGTGTCCTTGTTGTACATTGATTTGTCATAATCATCATCAACTAAATCAGAATGTGATTCCAAATTTAAAGCATCAATTCTGTTAACAGCTTTTTGTAATTCTTTCCGATCATCAAATAGCACAGTAAGCTTAACAGAAGGGCTGGTGGTCTGACGATTTTCAGACTTAAATGAATTAGTTGCATGTAGGGGAAAATCGCTCTCCAAATATGGTACATCAACTGTAATAGCTGGTCCAGTATAGCCGGGAAGATTTAAAACTTTTTGATGTGTTCTTGGCTTTGGTTGACAACCAATTTCCGCTTTGTTGCTCCTTATAGCCTCTGCTACCTTTACAAAGGAAGGCTTGGAGCTAACAATTGGTTTATTGGCCATCTCCACTCTATCATCGAAGTGGACTCGTCGATCCAGGGGAACAGGGAAAGTTTCATGCCTGCTGGTGAAATTTAAAGGTTTTGACACTTGAGAGGGATCTAGAAGAGCAGATGTTGGCATCACACTTGTGTCGCCAGCATCAGCACTGAACGATTCGTCAACACTTTTGCATTCTTGGTGTTGGTTTTTACGAGGTTGACAAGGTGGACCAGATCGATTCTCTCTACTACGTTTCAAGTAGACCTGGAACATAACAAGGGTTGGATTCAAATTCAAAAGACAGATTAACACACGTAAACGTATGTACATACCTCAGCAAGAACCATTTTATCTCGGACTGTCCTTTCCATTAAAGCTACTCTATGTTCTCTGCGGCTCAGGGCATGCTCCTTCTCCTCCAGTAGAAGCTCCCGGTTTCTTAGTGCAGCCTCCCGATCTCTGAGACTTTGAAGACGTGCCAGCCATTCATTTTGAAAAGTATCTTTGCTGACCTACAAGACAATAATAAAGTAATACTGAAAGTGCTTCCTCATAGTCTTCTTAAGAGATTAACTGTCAATGTGTTGGTCTAGGGCAGACCAACAGAATTTGTTTTACCTTCTCAGGTTCTCGATCTGCAGGGCTGGGTGGTGGGGCCTTGGTGCTTACAAGAGTTGTTGGTACTGATCTCTTTGTGTATTTCTGAGATTCTGGTGGTGAGTGTGACACAATGACAGGATGGCATATTAAATCAAAGATTGAAGGTCGTTGCTCTTGATTTACAAGTAGTAAACTATTTAAAACTCTTTGCAAGCTGTCTGAGTAATGTGGTGGAATTCGTTCAAATCTATGGCAAATAGTAAATTGATAGAATAAAATAAAAATACATTTACAGTTATGGTTTTGGGTTGACTTGAAAAGATAAATAATAGTACAACTATTTTGCGCTTACCTTCCCGTGCTCACTTTAGAAGCAAGTTCCTTGATATTCTGTGCATGAAATGGAGGTTTTAGAGTACATAGCTCATAAATTAAACATCCTAGAGACCAAACATCAGACTTGGTGTTGTACATTTCACCTTTCATCACCTCCTGTAAAATAAAAGTTTAAAATTGACAGTCCCTAAAATGTATGTTTCATAAAATGTTAAGGATGCATTCTGGGAAATACCGGACTCATGTAAAATGGGGTTCCAACCATAGTTTCAATGCACCCTGGTTGATCAGCATCTAGTTTGCAGGCTAAGCCAAAATCTCCTAATTTCACATTTCCAGCACCATCCAGGAAAACATTAGCAGGCTTGATATCTCGATGTAAGATTATTGTGCTAGATATCCAGGAATGGCATGTTTGGAGTGCACTAATCAGTTGATGGAGTACTCTCCAAACAAAACGTTCCTCTATATGATTATTACTTCTGTAATTCAGAAGATAAATGTTCAATGAAAATTAACCAACACACAGAGAAAGGGCATTTACACACGCTGAATCTTACTTGATGCATGTCTTGATGACTGTGGCCAAATCACCGCCAGGACAGTACTCAATCAATATATATAACTGTTTGGTTTCTTTGCAAACAATCCTGTCAAAGTATCTGACGATATGAGGATGTCTTAAATCTCTGAGAAGAGTAACTTCCGTGACAAGCAGCTTAAAACATGAAAAAGCGCACGGTTTTAAGGTGAAGGTGGAAAAGTATAAAAATACCCGAAAATAGCAAATTCAAAAATCTACCCACCTGTTTCTTTTCTTCTGGCAGGCATCCATACTCAATGACTTTCCATACAAGAACTTCATGAGTATGCTTGTTACGAACTTTATAGCATGATCCAAATGAGCCACTACCAATGAGTTCCAGCACCTCAAAATCATTTAATTTATAAATCATGTTTATGTTTTAGAGAAGCTAAACAGCTAAACATAACCTGGTAAAACAACAGTAACAAAAAGGTGAAATTTAATTCCTTAACCTTTAAAGGGAACCATAGAGGCGAAACAGTTAAATCATTAGATCAAAATTAAAACGTAACGGTACATATATGGACTGATCAACTTCGAACAAATACGCAAACTGAAGCAAATATTCGATTCACCCACCAATGAGTTAACATACGTTTGAACTGTATTTGTGTTCAGTTTCAGTCTCACATCTACTGACAACAGAAACTACACGAAATATAAAGATATCAATCCAAGAACCATAGATGAGAAAACTGTCTTGTTTTTACCTGCACCTGTTTTCAACAATTCAATCACAGTTGGTTTGTTTGTGTTTGGGTCGACGAAGAAACCGCCGTTTATTTTTGAAAACCTGTTGCAGAGAGATAGATGACGCGTGATTGGCCAGAGCACCCCAGAGCCGACCAATGGGACGCGCGAGTGCAGTTAGGTATAGCTCGTCAGCGTCCGTGGTCCTTAAGGAGACAAAACCCGTAATTTTAAATCTAACTTGGAGAACTATTTGCCACATACTGTGCGGCCTAAGTTAGGTTGCCCAGAAAATAACTCTTTGGGTTTCCATTCAAACAATAAAAAGCTGTGAATACTCTATGAGCGCGATCGCTTTGACGATTGGACTGATCTACTTCCGTAAGGTGGCAGGACTGGGTGTTTGTAAAGGCAGCGCCGAAGATCCCCCGACCTCGACAACTTTTTAGGCGGAGGCGGGCGTGCGGAATAGAGTCTGGTGCGGAATAATGGTAAGTACCACATGAAAAGCTTTGGTTTTATTTCAATTTTTCTTCCTCAACAACCCTCAGATGCAGGGCCTCATCTGGCACAGGCCGGCCACGACACGACTCGACGGGCGCACCGGGGGGCGCGACTGCGGTTAGTCGGCTCGACCATTTCATTTCTCACCGCCAACACGGCGAGAAATGCTGATCAGAGCCGACGGGCGTACGACGAGTGGTGCGGGGGCTGAGCGCCGAGGAAGATTCCTTGTGGAGGGCGATCAGTTTGTAGGCGCGCTTGGCGGGGGGTCATCAGTGGCAGTAAGGGTAGTTGGGGCAGGCGGCGGGCGAGACGCCGGCGGGGTACTCGCGCTGGGCAAAGCCGGGCAGCGGAGCGACGTGCACGCCCACGTTGCAGTAGGGGTAGTTGGGGCAGGAGGCGGGGGAGACGCCGGCGGGGTACTCCCGGCCGCCCCAGACGGTGGGCGTGGCGGGCACCGCGACCGGGGCCTGGCCGTTGCTGTGCAGCGCCAGGAGCACGTTGTCGCAGAGAGGGTAGCCCGGGCAGAGCGCCGGGTTGAGGCCGGCGGGGTAGCGGTCCGCGGCCAGGCTCGCGGACACGGCCGCCACCAGCGCGCTCACGACGATCTGCAAGCAGGCGAAAGGGGGGTCATTAGAGAGAGACGACACACGAAGGCATGGCCTGCCGGAAACTCTGAACCCTGATTACGGACTCTCGTGCCTCTCTCCCGTTGAGGTCTCTAGCTACGGCGCGGCGGTGTCAAGCAGTCTCCTCGGCACATGTCGACAGTCGACACGGGGCTCGCTGGGGGCGTTCCGCTGCGCCCCGCCACGCCCCGCCACGCCCCGCGATGATACGAGTGCACAGATATGAGGTAGTGCTCTCCACGACGGCGGCCTTGTGCTCCCCGATGTGTCAGCCTGGCTGGCGCCGACTCCGGGACGTGGAGGACGCGCCGCAGGGGAGAGAGGCGTCTTGCCAACAACACGTTATTCCCGTTCATAGCTAACGAAGCTCGCACGCGCCGTGTCGCTAATGTGGTGACAGGCACGTCGTCGTTCGCACCACGCCCGAGTCGCCAAGCGGTCCTGTCAGCTCCATGAAGCAGAGTTCGCTTCGCTTCCCCCCATCCTGGCCAAGAGACCCGCATGTCCCCCCGCATGCGTGCCCGGCCGGGTCTGCTTTAACAATGATGATGATGACTATTTTTAAAGACAAGGACGGCCCATTGTCGCTATTGGAGGAGTAGGCAGCTCACTTACAGCTGCTCAGAAGCAAACTCTTCCGCGTCACCGCGCCCCGCCCGCCCCGGCCACATTGTCCAGACGATGACGACGCCCCCCCCCCCCTTGCTGCGGTGGCGATTAGCACCCGCCCGACTCATTAGTAGATGTAGTAGGTAGACACTGATGCGGAGGGCAGAAGTGCAAGACCATTCCACCGAAATGGGGAAGAAGAAAGAAAAGAAACCAAAAGCACCGGAAACAGTATTTACAAACAGATCAAACCCGAACATTGTTTTGCTTTTTTCGGCGAAAAAAATTATTCTGGACTTGTTGGTGTACCACAGAGGTGCGCAATTTTGATCCACATACTGTTTTGAGAACTGTTTCCGGTGCGTTTTGATCCTTTTCTTTCATCTTCCACATTCGGTGGGATGGTTGGTCCGCATCCGCACGAAGCCACCTTCACCCCTAACCGCTGCGGTGGACCCTCTCACCCCGGGTGGCCGCGCAGGCCGCAGGTACTCACCAGCTTGGCGAACATGGCGGGGTGTGAAGTTGGAGTGAGAAGTGAAGTGTGAAGCTGCTCGGGGCGTGATGATGCGGCACACGCACGCCGTGCGTTTATATATCGGCGTGAGGCTCGCGCGCGCGCGCCGATCCTGGCGTGGCGTGGCGTGGCGCGGCGTCCGTAGGCCGGCCTATTGGCTGGTCTATTGGTCGGCCTATTGGCCAGGCTCCCGGCTGGATGGGCTCCTGGCCGGACTGTTGCATTGGCTGGGCGGCACAGGCGGCACGCGCCGCGACAGGGCGGCACCCATAGCCCAGCGATACGGCGGCGCCCCCCGCACGGGTGCCGGCCAGGTCCAGGACGCCCCTCCCCTAGGGGTTGGCGACACGGGTACTAGTGGTAGGGTCAAAGCCAAGGACGGGGAAGACGTTGATATCGATCGACGGCTCTGGGTACCTCTAGTGGTGCCAGAGACGGTCGTAGAGGAAAGGCAGGCTGATTCAATGGCAGGGATGAGAAAAACAATGGCACTGGCTTATGTAGTTTGTTTTTAGAGTATAGGTCGAGGGGGGGG